AATCTTTTAATTTTAAATAACTTATGGTTGTGTTGACCAAAATGCAACCCTGTTATCACAAATCATATGTTCATCTTGCTTGCAAATTCTTACTGGCAAAAATTTTCCAGCACGAATTTGCAACTTCCCCTCCAAATGAAATGTCGAAATTGTGCTCTCTCCTTGCAAGTTTTACTGAGTTTTTGGCTAAAGGAACACGATTTGGTAACAATTCGTACCAACTTGTACAAGTTTTTTGCATAGCGAACACTCCTATTATTGTATCGTGGTCAGATGTTTTATGTCGATCAAGCCTTTTACACGTGGTATGTTAATCAGTTGAGTATAGGAGATCAATCTTAGTCTCAGACGGTTCTGCTATTCGCGTGTTAAAGTCAGTAATTTGGTACATAGAAATTGAATTAAACAGCTCATTAAGCTTCACACTGTATGTTGATTCTCTATTTAGATTAATATTAATATCGCCAATGATTATATTGTTAGACATCGTATCACATATTTCCGTTAGTATTCTCAAGTATAGCTGATAAACTCAGAGTCACTCGTGCTTGGCGAGTGATATACCACTCCAATTTTCCACTTTACTTCAACATTTTTTAACTGTACGATAATCGACCATATATTTCCATTAACAGATTTATTATATATTACACGGAATTGAAGTGAGTCACTAACGTACATAACCACACCTCCATTGTGTTTGCTTTGGGAATCACATCTTATACATGTAAATGATATATTTATTTCAGAATCGCTAATTTCATCAGTTATGCTTGTTTCAGAGCATAGTACAATTGCAGGATCAAATACTTCCACTAGCCTATCAATTTCAAGTTTGTTGTGCACTAAACTATTACCATTTAAATAAATAAGTTTTAAATCTTCAGTTTTCATTCGATTTGTCTCTTCTGGCTTTTGTTACTAGTAACCGGTATGCTGCTTTTGTAGTTTTGGTTTTTTTGATACACAGGGCATTCTTTACTAAATATGCTATGGCCAGTGTCAAGTTTAAAACCAAGATCTCTGTAGGCGTCCGCACAATTACCACAAACTGGGTTGGCTACTTGTACTTCACACTCGTGGGTTTTGTGTTCTCCCAGACATCGACCACATCTTATTTTTTTAGTACAGGTGTTTGCGTTGTGGTTGAAACCAAAACATTTATAGCATCTCTTAACATTTTGACCATCATAAACACTACATTGATCCCATCCAATATTTAGTTTAGCATGTTTTACCACCTCAGCATATTTGTCATGATTAATTTCAATAATTGCGTTAAAAGTGCAGATTGCTCTGTTATTTTTCTTAATTTTATAAATTGTTACACATTTTAGATTTGCATTTTTTAAAAACTCATTTTGAGATTTTATTTTAGCAATTATTTCTAAGCAATTATATTCTTCATTCATATTAGTGACTTTAATTTTTGGGCTAACAACTTTAGATTCCTTTATTACATATACCTCCGAGTCTAACTTATTCTGTAATGTAGTTTTGATTTTGTCCTTTTCAAAATTGTCGTTTGCCTTGATAACGACAGACGCATTATATTTGTCTATCACATTATTTATTTTCATATCTTTAGCATCAATCTTGTTAAGGTCTTTCTTTGTTATGTCAACCGTTTGCTTTGTTTTTGGTTTGACAATAATTGGGGGAACACCTTGAAGAATATTCGCATAAGATACCTTGTTTTTACCCGCGATTATGTTTTGATCACCGACTTTTCTCACTTCTTGTATTATTTCCTCCTTTTGTTTTGATAAGCTTTCTGCGGATTTCTTTTCTTTATTAAAAATACACAAGCTTTCCACTCTTTTTATTAAATCATCCCTCTCTTTATTTGCCTTTTCCATATTGTTCACCACCTTCTTAATTTATTTTTTGTTGTTTGCTAGCAATGCACTGATTTCCTTACTGTGATTCTTTAGGAGTTTCTCAATTTCCGTTTTCTGTTCACGTATGTTTATTTTGTTGTTATCCGCTATCGAGATCATCTGCTTTAGAGCATCATCGACATTCGGTATATATGTAACGCAATGATCTATATATCGTCGTTTAAAGTACAAAACCGCGTATCGTCATTCTGCAAAACCGAGTAACTGACATTGGCTGCCAAAAATTGGGTTTGCTCACACAAGCTCTTGGCTCAATCCTTATCCATTCGTCCTGAAATATACTAGCCAGAAATGCGATTGCTTTATAAAAAAGAGAACCATTTTGATATATGCGTGCTTATACGCTCTAGAAAATAATTTCTACAACTTCACATACGCGGTTTAGCACTTTAGACGACGATATATATGTAAATGTGAATGTCAGTTTGTTTATTACCGCGACACGGAATCGCACGAAACTTTGCACGCTTATTTGTTTTTACCTCGGGAAGGTTATAGGTATGGTTTTGTTTGCAAACATGGTGTGCGTGTCAGTCCACCGTCAATCCGCGATTTTCACGGACTGAAATGAACGAAGTAAACTCGAACTCTCCTCTTCCTCTTATCCACACAAAACCGGTTTTAAGCGGACTGAACAGTCCAGTGGACGGAGACTCTTTCAAGAGTGTTCTCAATTTTGCTATTTTACGTACAAGGTTTTTATATTAAGTTCAGAACACATCGAAAACGACGTCACCACACGACACTAAGGTTTTGTCTACATAATCTGAACGCCTTGTCGACGGCGACATGATTTTTTTGAACGCGGCAGCGACACATGAATTTGTTTGAGTTTGACATAAAAAAATAGGAAGAATCTTATCTGTCGCTAGAAAAATAGAAATAGATCCAGTCTGGCCACAGCTACATTTTTGGCTTGTCGCAGTGTCGCCGTGTCGTCCCAAAATAATTATCTACATAATAAAGCGTTCTCATTGAGCCATTAACTCGAGTTTATGGGCCATTTTGGAGTTTAACGCTTAACTCTACTCTTAAACTCGGAGTTTACCATACAAAAAATTTCGTTTAACTCTCCTTAAACACCACTTTTATTTGGAGTTTATGCGAATGCAACCCTTTTTTTACCCGATTTGGTTTGTGCCTTTGATAATCCAAACCGGCAACCCACTTGCCGACAGTTAGTCTGTTCCCATACTGCAGGATTTATTCAGAATTAGTTCGAGGTCGTTCTGTGCACCTAAGTCTAGAATATCAACAATCTAGAGATGCAAAAACCAAAAATGTGGCTCGATAGAACTTTTTGTGCTGATTTCAACCCTACCAAAATTATCTGGCGAAAGTAAAATATAAAGAAGATATCAGTGGTTAAAGTTAAGTTTTCTGATTTTTTTTTAATATTAATATCTTCTGAATAACATAACCTATTAAAAAACTAATGACGTCAAATTAAAGGTAATTAATTTGTTTTCCATGTATGTGCTTTTTTATACTTTTAGTCCGGAAATACTAAAAAACCAACTTATATAAAATTACTTTTAAAACTGGTTATAGTATATACGTCGCATAAAAAGTATTTAAATTATGTTGAAATTAGCATCAATAATTTTTTAATCGGTTAAGTAGTTTCCGAGATATTAAACACATAAGAAATAGATGAGTTGAACTTTAACCTCTTTTATTGGCTTTGGTTTTTATTTGCACCAAATAGTATTGGTATGGTTGAAATTAGCATAAAGAGTTCTATCGATCCTCATTTCTTTTTTTTTTTTTATAGCTAAACGGTTGGTATTCTAGACTTATGTGTGTGTGTGTTAAATCCTGTAGTACGGGAACAGACTAAATTAGAATAAGAAAAAGTAAACAAAAAATGTCAAATTAAACTCTGAGTTTCTTAAACACCCCAATGTGAACGGTTGACAGTAGTTCATAAACTCAAAACGTTAAACTCGAGTTAATGGCTCAATGAGAACGTAATATAAGAGTATGTGTTAAACTAGTTTGACAGCTGTGGTCCGTAGCCCGTCGTTTCCAATGTGTTTCAAGCGTTACATGTCATTAACGAAAAATTTATCCTCTTCATAGGGCCTGTATCAATTGATAGAAAAGAGGAAATTTTGACGGATCAAAGTAAAAATTTTACATTTCTCGTGGTGAAAACGGACGTCAGAATTTTACCTAGCTTATGAGGCTAGGTAAAATTTTGACAGCTTATAAGCATGTATACACATATCATTGCTTGGCGGTAATAAAGAGGGAACATGAAAATGAAAGCCGAAAAAGCACAAAAGAAGCGTACGTTACTTGTAAGTTATAAAATAAATATACATAAATTTCAACAATTTCAGCAATACACACAAATAGAGCTTTCGCACGGGCGTTTGTTTGGTTTTCAGCTGTCAAAATTTTACTTCGCATTTGGTACAGCAAAATTCACCACGGAGAAAAAACTTACCGGGCACAGGCCCATATATGGATACATTTCCTACAGTAGCATATTTGTATACACTCATTAGATTTGTCAAA